TAACCCAGCAGAAATTAAACGAATTCGGCTATCCTCTTTAGTTGATGATAATCATTGACTTTGGCCGTCAAGTCATAATTATGTTGTCAAATAAATAAATTTCCTTGTTTGAAAAAACTTTAAAGACTTTTGGGTAAAGTAATTGAGTTTTTAAAAAGTAAACATTGTTTATTACTTTATAGATGATGTAATATTAATATTCAGTCAATTGTGTATTACAACAATTTAAATAAAATTGGTAATTATTGGGAAGACGCCCTTTAAAATCTTACTATATAAAATGAGTACTTTTTAGTGTAACAATTTTTTTTTTCGAAATTCTGAGTTCTTAAAATTAATCGAACCCAAAATATCACATTTTTTGCGATTTCCACCGGTGGTGTAATTATAGTTTTTTACATTTATTTTTCATTGATTAGGATTGGAGAAGTTGGCAACACCGCGAATTTGTAATGGCGTGACAGTTTCCAGTATGACAGGACAGATATAATTCTAAAAAGAAGCTTATATAAATGATCCTCAAAATTCCTAAATAATACATAAAAAAGAAAAAAAAGTAAAATGTATGGGGTTTCCGCAGATAAATTTGAAGATTACTATCCTTCCTAAAGTCTAAAACGTAAGTTTTGAAAAAAAAATTGGATTATTAAGAAAAGGGCGTCTTCCCAATAATTACCCACTTTTCTGACCAATAAGCTCACTGTGTTTGTTCAGGATGTTGAAGATTCATGTTTTTGTACTACAAAAACCTCCAGATAATGATTAATGTCTTTCTCCTACGGCTCTGCAAACTTGTACCGACGGACCTGTCAAACTTGGACAGCGCTCCTCTTTTAAATTGCTTACATACAATGTCGTTAATAAATTTGCTTATTTAAACTTTAACTACAATGCTTGGACCTCGATTTTGGGTTGGATTTTTCCTTTTATACTATTATTTTAAATTTTTTATATCAAATTGACAACTCCCAAAAACTTTTCGCATTTCTCTGTCAAACAAAAACTGTCCTTTTTTTTTACCAAAGAGAAGCTTCATAATGACAATGAGAAACCAATTAAAACCCTTAATGGTTATGGAATTAGCATTTTGGTATATCGATCTCGATATTAGCAGAATTTAACTAATTGAAAGATTATTCACAATTTTATTACAAAATCTAAGTTTTTGACTCTGGACATGTATTTTTCAGTGTTTATCGTACCTTCCATTTAAATTAACCTTACCAAACAACGTTTGACTTTGGCATTTTATTTGATCCGCTATTTTTACTGTACTGGGTGTTGTTTTATTAGTTATAATAATAATAATAATAATAATAATGTTGTTATACGTTGGGATATACCAATTTCGTAACAATTTCCCAAATTTATATTTGAAATTTTCCTAAAACTTTTTAGTAAAATTTTAAATATCAATTTCAATTAAATTATTTACAATACTTGTGATTAATATAATATTCTACTCCCAAAATCTATATAATTGGTTAATATGAAAGATTCCTCGAATCTTTATGTAAAGGAATTAGCCAGAAACTATGTTTCAAATATAATTTTAAAAAAATTTTCTACTAGTGATTCTTCCTAAAATTGCCTCTATCGGCATAGGAGCTTCATATTGTGGTATGGTGATATTATTTATTGTTCTGGCGTCCAAACAGAGTCTTATCTCATTGTTTTTCTTTTTAACAATAACTATTGGGTTTATGTATTGAGTGTTACTATATTCTATAATGCCATCATTTAACATTTGATAAAAGTTTATCAAATTTCAAAATTAGTCTTCAACGTATTTGATAACATTTAATTTGCAATAACATTCAACCTAACCACCATAATGTACGATAAGTATGTCTCTTTCCTAATCAGAGGTTGTAGATGGGGAGTCTCATTAACCCCCCACTGCCCCCTCTACAAGTCTCAATACGTGGTAGGCCCCATTAACCGACCACTCATTGAACTTACCAATAAGGGATTCAGGAAACAGACATGTTTGTCGTCATTAACAAAATCTTTAACTATGTTTCATATAATTTTATTCATAAATCAATAGTTATAAAATAAAAATTTTTAGCAACCCGTCGTTCAGTTCTATTGTATATGACACGTGCGCCTCCCATTAAGAAAGGGTAGTTTGGTAATAAAGTCTCATTAGCTTTATGCAACCCCCTTCTGTTTTGAAATAATTGGCTGTAGGACCTCATTAGTCTTACACAGTTAAAGTAAATTCTTCTTCTTTTTTGGCAAATTGACTTAATGACAGACGCATGCGCCATGAACTTGAAAAGAGCACATGGTCAATTGTAACCTCAAAAATTTTATTAATTTTCGACTAAACTAGTTAGTTGCAAAAAGTGTATATAATTTTAAAATGTTTTAAAAATTTTCAATGCATCGTCTAAAATGTTCATGTCAATGTTTATCTAGTACAGTTTCAATCACATCATTAATTTTATCAACAAAATTTTTTCACGAACCAATCTCACTAAGTAGTAAGTAAACATTAATTGTTCATTATTCAATTGTAATTTTCCTGTAATAAATATTCTAGATCCCTGAAGATGAATGTATTCACATTCGAAAGCTTGGAATAAACTTATAAGAGTACACATATCGTTTTGCTGCAAACCCAATAACTCAAGTTCATATATATATATATATATATATATATATATATATATATATATATATATATATATATATTGTTCTGTTTTTAGTGTATATCTTTTTTTTTTAATTAAAATATGTTGGGCGCCAATGGAAGATTTAATTCAATTATCTTTATTAATTAATATTAATCAATTTGTTACAGAACATAATGTCCAGCCAGCAAAACAATAGAAATATTATTTACTTACCGTATATGTATCTCAGGGTCAAAGGCGAGTTCCAATACCAATAATCCGGAAAGTGGATATTTATTTTATTACCTGTATTTCTTTTATTATGTTCAAAATTTATTTCTGGTAGAAAACTTTTTTGTTTTACTCATGTACTTCTAATAATTAAATAATATCAAACTCTTAATAAACAACTATGTATAACTTTATTTACCTTAACATTCCAACATTGTAATAAAGAAAATTTTATATTCTGTACATTTACTTTTAATTATTTTATGTAACTTTTGAGTACGGGCCTGTTCTCAAAGCGAGAATCTTGCATTCGATTCGATTTATAGAGTATGCAACTTGCAATTCATAACCTGTCTTTAGTAGAAAGAAAATTATGTACAAATATCGGTTCGATACTGTTTTAAAGAGATTTAAAAATGCTAGTTTCTCAAGAAGTATTACTAAATTAAATCTATTTACACCTACATACTATAAACGTTTAGTGATTGCAGTTTTCATTGGAATAATACAATTTTATTGGAAAATTAATGTTCGGGATGTGTTATTTAGAGGTTATAATATACGCAATCCAGTTTATATCATAGATAAATTAATAAAGTAATTTATCTATGGTTTATATAGCTATTCACACGTTTTAAACAAGAATTAAGACATGACTGGACTTCAAGATAAGTGGTGATTTCAATATGCCGGACTTTCAAACGATTTGCCATACAAAAATGATGTTTCTTTACCTTACTGGTACTCAGAATACTGCTACATTCGTCCCGGAGATGTTCAGCTATACCTTCCAGGTAATTTACACTTAATTTCATTAAATTTTCTTGTTTTATTCAAATTAAATTTTCTTAGGTTTTTATTCTTGACTAACTTTTCAAGATTATTGATTTCCTCTCCTCATTTGTTTTCTCGTTGTCCAGCAACGTTTTTCCTTCAAAATTTTGTTGTAAAATTTTAATTCTTAAGTTTGATATTTCTTTTGGTCGAATTAGCGCGCCAATTGCCATTCCGAGACAAGTAAAGCTCATCTATTTTATGTACTACTCATCCTACTTTCACGGATTTGAATACATTGGCGTTCTTTGCCGACTACAGGTCTAGATCCAGCAATTTGAGACGCGCTTGCGATAATAATTATAAAATATAAAATTGTTTGCTGGTTATACTTAATCATGTTTGATAAAAAATTGTAATCCATTTTGTAATTAAATGATTCTTGTATTATGTTTCAAATAATATTTAAAATTTCACATTTTAACCTTTTTTTTATTATTATTATTATTTAATTAGCTATCTTGTTTTAATCAAGTAAGAAACGGTATCATGAGAAGCTACATAGCTGATGATATTTTCATAGACGAAACGTAGTAAAATGGTAAAATGTAACATATCGTTGTATTTAGCTATACAAAAGCTATAAAAAATTACAGTTAAAAATCCAGGTCCGTATTTAAAAAAACAAGTTGAAGGTGGCCCTGCAAATACGAAACGTCGTAATAAAAATTTTGATATGGCAGATTATAGGGAACTTGATTTATAACAAAAACTTCGTATAATTTTTTTTTGTATCTTTTATAATAACAACGCACGATTTAAAAAACGGTTTTTCGGATTTTATCGAATATCTCCGGAACCAGTCAGAAAATCTGGAACTTCTATAGACTATTGTATTATCCGTCAAAATACAAAACTTTTTCCCCATTTAACCGACAATGTTTATCTTACGGTTTACGAGATCTCTGTATACGCAAATTAAATCCGATCCACCCTGTATATAGTCAATTTAAAATATTTTTTCAAATCCTACGACGATTCTAACTACAATTTATATAAAATAATTTATTTGCACACTTAAAAGCCAAAACAGTAATTTTGTGTAATATTTTTTAAATAGTTTTTGTTGGGTAGTGGAAAATTTAGAAAAGTTGACTTTACTACATTTGATATTAGACTCTGATATCAGAGTTATTGCTAATTTGTTTTTCATTTTTCATAAAACAATGTCAAATGTATTGCGTGTAAGTACTTAAGTAATTATTTTGAAAATTTATATCTCAACAACACATTTAGATTTTTCGTTTAGATAATCAATACGCAATTGAAAAAAGTATATATATCGATAAATAAAATAAAATTTTATTCATCAAAATGAATTATTTATTAGCAATCTCGTGCGTTTTTATTTGTTTTACAACAATTATTGCATTTCCGAAAAATGGTAAGTGAACTGATGTTTGATTATTTAACACTATTATACATCAACCAATGACAATATTTTATTCCAACATACGCCAATCAAAACAAACTGTATCTAAAAACACTACATGCCGCAGTATGGTTCGTAAACCATACGGTGGTCTCGCCTGGTTGCTATGGATAGGGGCATAACGTCAAAGAATGAAAAAGCGAGATGAAAATAATCTGCTGCGGTTCATATATTAATTAAAAAAAAAAAACTAATATTTTAAATATTTTGTTGTGTTTATATGTATTTATACAGTTCATCAAATTTCTAGAGGCTTTCGACGGCTAGACAGAGAAAGCACTACTGACAGGTATCCCGACGGATTTACGCAATGAAAGTACACTCTGCGCATCAAGTATTTCACTATTTCATTCAGACGTAAATGTCAGATGTAAATTTCGCTAAAACATTTCTTTTATTTTCGTTTGTGTTTTTTGCTCATTACAGTTTAATAGAACCTAAGTATGGAGTTTAATAGCAAATTAAGAGGCCGCGTGATTAACAGTCAATCTCGCAAAATAATAGCCAATGTTATAGAGTTTATGAGAAGAGAAGGAAACTTTAATTCACCTTCAATACCATTTAAAAAATGTAAATGATCGTGTTGCTGCAGCCACAGGAGTATCTAAAAACACTGTCGTCCGCATTTCTGGAGAGAAAAAAAGAATCGATAACCGTGAGATATCGGAATTTTCATCACCAAGAAAAACCATTAAAAAACCAAAAACAGTTAATGATATAGATGAAGCTGCACAAGAATCAAATTTTATTTTTTTATTATTATATAGCTATTTTTGTTTCTGAGTTGTGTTCATTTACAGGCTCAATTTTTTTCCGTTTCTCCTTTTTTGATTTTATATGGGGTTTCAAGTTGTTTTTGACTTATTTCGACGTAAATCACAACAACACACTTTTTAATGAAGCAAACAAGTGTTAAGAGGTATATGTACGTGTAAACTACAATTACAAAAAATTGATATGAAACCCATGAAACCACCAACAAAAATGTAAAGCTAGCTTCCGTACTAGAACATGGTGTCATTCGTCGAGATAATTTATCGTTTTGTTTAATAGATCAAGAAATGTAAATATTCCCCTGTTATTTTTTATAAAATTATAAGAGAAATAAATTTTTTTCTAAATAGTATAGTTTATTATTTTGTAGAAAAAACAAAATTTCGAAAATTTTAGTAATGTTTCAGAAACAACCGTTATTAATAATAGGTACTATTTTCCCTTAATAAGGTAGAAATAAAATATAAACTATTTCCACGATTTACAAAGGCCTACAAAAAAATTATAGGTATTTTCCGCTATCCTATAAAATTTACATTTTCTGACTCAATTTCAAAAGGTTGAAGGAATTCCAAAACACCTTTTATGGCATAATAATTATTTTCAATTTCTACATACTATCTTTAGCTGCTTTTAAAAACGTTCTAAGAAAGTCCAATCAGACCAATTTAATCCCTAAACTATTCCACACTTTTAAAATTTAATTACCTAAAAATATTAAAAACTATTTAAAATAACGTTCTCTGTCTGGGCGTCGAACACCTCTAGAAATTTGATGAAATGTATTTTTGGACTATTTTTTTTGTGTTAAAAGAGTATTTATAATATTGGTAATTTCAGGGTATAAACAAAGTGTCGTCCGAATTCGGCTCGAAGGCTGTATTCTAACCCAAAATATTTAAAATAAACCATTGAATAATTTGTATTAAAAAATAAGGGCTATTTTTTAATAATTATTATATTAATTTTAAGGATGTTAGATAGACACAGAACAATATATTTTTATATTTTAATTAATAAGTAATTTATTTGAAATTATTTAGGGAAATAATAACAAAATGCGTAATTTTGAAATGGTTTTCCAGTTCTTCCATACTTATTTCAAAATTTATAAATTTTTGTAAATAGTAATATTAATGCCTATCAATTATTCCGGTGTTCTCGAATTGAGGACCACTACCTGCACAGACCAAATAAGTGCACCGAATTGCGGACCGTACTAAGGATTAGGGATTAAGGTGGTAATGAGGGTTCATTGCGTTAACTAGATTACTGAGAGAGATTTTTGTACTGGAAATATGACACGAATTGAGGAACAAACTTCTCAATAATTGAAGTATCTTATCACTATACCCATTTATAATATTATTATTTGTCTTCTGATGGATTGCAAAATTTGAAGAAAAGTACGAATTCAGATAAAAATAGATATTTATTGCACAATTTACAATTTATAATTAATTTTTTAAACATATACATATTATTTACATTTAATACACTTTATGATAATTTGATGCGAATTTTACAAAATCTATTCGTTTTATAGAACCATTTTTATATTCTAACATTTTTAGAGTTAACATATTTAATCTTCGTCTAACAATTTTGTTGTTACATTTAACAGACTCCTTAAGGCTGTTAATACGAATATAAGTATCTGTTTGAAAATTGTTTCAAAACATTTACAAATAAATACAATGAAGGGTGCATTGAATAGAAATTTGAATTAAATCTAGAATGAAAGGACTCGCATGCATTGGTAGAATTTTCTGTAGTTACAACAGCTTCAGCCCAAATTGTTGGTGGAAATAAAGAATTTTCTTCAATATAATTCTTTACTAAATAGTCAGCTAAATTTACCACAGCTTTATGCATATGATCGGGCTGAAATTCAGCCAAATCCAAAGCAAAACATTCTCCAACTTCTTCGGGTTTTAAAAAAGACAATCCAAAAAGATACCTCATCCATTTTCCAGTTGCACTTTTTTCATCTTGGTATTCTTTAGCCAATCCCAAACTCTGTATTTTTCTGTACCAAGCTTGGCCAAGATGAAACCTACATCCAATGATCTTTGTGGTGGGCCATTGCGCAGAAATTGCTTTGTGAATAGCTAGTTCATAATCAGCTACAATAATTTTTGGAACAAATATTAAATTAGCATTACAACACTTTTCTTAAGGATAACGAAAAGTCTTTCGTATGTTAAACGAAGTTTATTCGGTAATAAACAAAAAGCTACTGGTATATAATGGCCGTTTTCTACGATATGAAGTGTGAACAACTGTAAAAAATGTTTCGTACAATATCGAAATGTTCCATCAAGATACACTTTGTCACTACTACACAAAAATTTTAAATTAGTATAGCACGAAAATACTACAATATTGTTAATATTATCAGTGGCCAAGAGAAATGGTTCATTTTTAATTGTTGTCAAATTTAATGTTGGTAAAATATCGAAAACATCTGATACATTGCTTGGTAAACGTGCTTGGACTTGACGTCTTTTGTAATACATATTATTTCTTATGTATGTAATGTCTTTCTTGTCAAAGCGTCCATTGTATCACTGTTTTCCCTTAAAACAGAGTGTATGATTTTCAATGGCCGTTCTGTGATATCTTCTACAGCTTTCCGTTTGCTTGCTACACTCAAAATTGTCTATTTAATTTCTTTATGTCATTTTCATGATTGTGCACTGTTTCTTTTCGAGAAATTATATTATCTGAACCTAGCGTAAATTCTTTTGCGTTACATTTACTTACAGTACAAGTCCAAAACTTTTCACCACTTTTAAGAACCTTTTTTCACGAAACTTATAATCATCCCACACAAGTAACGACTTTCCCTTTCCACTTAAGATCATTTTAATTTCACTCATTTTTACAAGACTGCTCAAAATAAACTAAACACAAAACACACTCACTTCAAATATATATTAGAATTTCGAAAGTAAAGTAATAAAATGCTCGTTAACGCAATGAATCATCATTACAACCTTAATCCCTAATCCGCAATTCGGTGCACTTACTATAATTATTTCTCAGAAGCCTGGTCCTCAATTCGTGTCATATTTTCAGGTACAAAAATAAACCCTTCTTAATATTTTCATTTTGGTTCTCAATTCGTGTCTGCCCAATTATTCTGTTTGAATTTACTTCAATTAATAATGATGTTTATATAATCAAATATAAAATGATTTTTGAGATGCAAGTTTTTAGCTTTGTTTTAATAAATCTAAAATAAAAAATAAACTTTAAATGATTTCACCTTAATTCACAATTCACAACACAAAATACAAGTCTGTAAAACTACAAAAAACTAAAGTTTCAAAAACAGATATCTTTTACCCCATGCATCTTTTCACTTCGCTAAGTTAATTATCGATCGGGCATCTGGCAAAGAATGAAATCGCAACCGATGCAGCGCTTAATATATAAAGTTTCGTACATTGCAAGTTCAGACAGGAAAAAAACGTTTGCCCGCTCGTTGGCTCGTTGCAAGCCAAATTTCAAGATCAAACATGAATAAAATCAAATTTAAAATAAAATAAATAAAACTAAAAGCTAATATCACATAATTAAGAGCGACCGTTTCCCTTCAGAAAACAACTACTCCTTTGGCTAGTATCGCAACAGGTATTGAATTATATTCAAAGGAAAGACAGCAGAGATAGAAATTAAATTTCAACACTCTACCTTTGATTTTGCTCACTATTAAGACTCTTCAGCAAGAAATAGATCGTTTCTCAATTTCAGTCTCTAATGGAATTAACAAATGCTACACATTTCACCAGTATACAATAAAGTTAGTTACGAAGAGAATAAGAATTCAAGTAGTGAAATGGTGTCGCCATCTGTTCCTAGTAAACAAAATAAAAGGCCGCTGTAGTACCCAGTTAAAAAACTAGGTGGAACCAAAAAACCAGGCTGGCAATATGTAAAAAAAAAATGCAAACTCAAATGTGATCAAGACGTAAAATAAAATAAATAAAACTAAAAGCCAATATCACATAATTACGGGCGACCGTGTCCCTTCAGAAAACAACTACTCCTTTGGCTAATACGTTTACTGTAAAGATAGAAGAGTTAGCTCTCAGAATTTCTATGATAATTTGTCAGTGTGAGATTTATGGTGGCATTACTACCATCTAACACTTTCATCCTTTTAAGCAAAACTCAATAAGTCCAAATTGTTTTTTTGTATATTTTAGAAATTGCGCGCGATTTTTGAAAAATTTTTCGGTGTTTAAAACTTAAAATACATCCTAAAACTATTTTTATTGAAACCAAAACTTTAATTAAATGGGAAATTGCTGTAGGGAAAATATTACTTTCCTAACTTTTGAGTTATACTGGATTTGTTTAGTTTCCAACTCCCACGCGATATAAGATCTTTTTTTGAAAACATTTTGTTGTTTTCTTATAAATTATACAAATCTCACTCAACAAAATCTTCCCGAAACTTCACTCGACTAACTTCTCGTTGTAATTTAAGGAGGATTTTATTTCGTGAAATTTAGAACGCACAATTTTCAAGAAAACAATGAAATGTTCTCAAAAAATTCTCACCTCTGAAAATATTGTATAGACATTTATTTTATTCATGTATTTTTTTACAGACCTTCAACACACATTTAAGCAAGGCAATAAATCTTTTTTGATACATACAGTTAAAGTAAGTATACATGTATTTTTAATTTCTATGTGGCGGCTGGTGGTAATTTAAAATGGGTGTTCACTTTTTCCAATAATCATTTGTAAGTTCGGATAAAAACTTTGTAGAAGAGTCAATATCGCTGTTTTTTTATTATTTGAGTTTGTATTAAGTGTAGTTATTATTATCAACATCATACTGTTTTCAAGCACTACAACTATTAATAAATGAATATTTTAGTTAGTGTAATATTTGTTTTATTTTTAATACGTTGAAAACCATCTATAAACATTATTAATTAGTAAACTGACTTTCCTTCATAATTTGAGATTATTTTTAAATATATATCAGGTTATGTAGAAAGCTTAACATTGATTTTTGTGTGAAACATTTTATATGAAACTTTACCTACAATTTTTTAGTTTTTATTGTAAGTTTAATCATTTTCACAATTTGTCACTGATGTCAAATAAAAAATATATTTTTTAAATACCTTTTATTGGTAAATAAAATAAGAACTAAAATGTTTTAAATGTTTATTTTATAATCACAATACATAATAGTACACAGACACAAACTAGAATAAAGATATATAATGCCTGGCATTCTAAATGATACTCTTCGCAGTTTAACAGACACCCTTAATCCCCATTTTCAAGCAGATTGTTTACACAATCAATAGGCCTCATCTTCTTATAGATCTTGATTTTTACTAAAAATTTCATGTTGATTTCGTTTCCCATTTTTGATTTTAATCAGATTTTTTTATAATTAAAGGGCTTCTTCTCCTTTTAGAGGTCGATGTTGGCTAAAAATTTCAAGTTTATATCATTTTTCGTTTTTTTTTATGTTTTATATTTTTCAGTATCAATAGGCTTTTTTTTACTGAAAATTTCATGTTGATATCGCTTTTCGTTTTTAATTTAGGATTTTTTTTTTTAATTTCAACCCATCTTAACCCCTTATTTTTCAGATTTGTTAAAAATCAATAGGCTTTGTCCCCTTATAGAGCTTGATTTTTGCTTAAAATTGTCAAGTTGATATCATTTCTCGTTTTTGACTTATCCTGCAGACAAAAAAACGTGACATCAGACAGACATATAAAGTAAACCTATAATACTTTTCACAGAATACTGTATGAAGAGTAGAAAAAAATGTGTAAGGTAAAATAAACAATTTATTAAAAAGGTCAACAATAATATTCAACTTCTTTTTTCAAAGGATACTAAAAGTTTGAAATAGCAGTACATAATTGAACATTTACAGAAATCTGCGAACTTAACTAGTGAGATACACATCGTAAAATTTTATCACACTTAATTCTCCATATGACCCTTTCTAAGTGTATTTCACAGCACATTCCAAAGTATTCGTGCTCTCACTCTGTCCTACCCTCATGGCAAACTTTAGCATGTCCAGGTTCACTAAAAAATAATGTGTTTTAATAAATAACAGAATAATAGTATTTTGTCTAAATAGGTAAATCGGCGTCATCTGTATTTTCAAATTATTGTTTAATTGTAGATAGTATATTAATGTTTTGATATGTACTTATAGGATTGATTAGCCAGAGCATGTAGATATGTAAGATGTGACTTGTTAAGTGCCCATTCAAAATCACAATTTATGTTTGATACTTATTGCTTTTTTCGAGACATACTTTATTACTAGGTAACTGTAAACTAATTTACCATCAGCCCTATTTTTATATAATGTTTAGACTGGGAAAGAAGTACACACTCAGTGGTTAAATGATTGGGTTGAATTGAGGAATTGAGTACTCAAGTGTGTATATATAAATGTTTAATACAATTCGCTAGCGCTTTCGACAAAACATTGTCATCTTCAGGCCGTCCTACAAAGTTTAAAATTTAATACGAGAAGTAAGGGTGAAAGAATTACCTTACGTCAATAGATATCTATCCAGAGTTAAAATTGAATAAAAATACATGGGTTAAAACATTGAATACATTTTTGAAAAAGGGGGTGTTGAAAAATTAGCAAAACACCCTTATATTTCGTATTTTACAAATATATTATCAGTTAAAATTTTTTAAATTTTAACGGTACATCGTACCTATTAGACAGTGGATAAATGACACATAGACAGACTGACACATGACATAGGCTTAAGGAGGGAGTGTTCGACATTGGTTCTGGAGTTAACCGATCCATGTGATCTATACTCATTCAAAAATGATACAATGGTTGAAAAGTTGTGCAATATATTTAACCCTAATTTGAGGGTGATTGCAACTAATTATTATGGTCTATGAATTAAACACAATATGTTGATTCTACAACCATTTAATTCCAACTGATATTTCTACTGTGGTACAAAATATAAAAATGTCTCTACAAGATAAGAAATTAAATTTACAAGGTGTAACAATTTGAACCTATAAAATAATATGAAATAATTATATTAGATATTCCACATCCCCCCACAAAAAAAAAAAAAAAATAGAAGTATTAACCTTAAATTCAATATTTACAATCTACCCAGTTAATCATAATTTAAACGATTCACAACTACTATTTACATCACTATGTACATCATTATTTACATTAGAAACTTCATTTGAATCATCTGCTTGAGACACTAATGGAAGTGAAGATTCCACGATATGAAATTTTTTTCATTTGATTCAAATGGCGTTTCCATTCTGTGTCTTGCAATTCTGGAATTTTAACAATATATGTAACTTTCCCAATTTTTTTAACAACAATGGCTTTTATCCATTCCACCTTATTTTTTCTTCGATAATCGCGCACAGTCACCTGTTCACCTGGCTCGAACACTAAAAACCTTTTACCACTAGAATGAAGTTTTTGTTTTTCTTGTACCTTTGATATATGATTTCTCAAATTGGTTTGATCACCAGGTAAAAGTATATCAAAACGAGTGCGTAAATTTCTTTTTAACATTAATTTCGCCGGACTTACATTTGTTGTACAATGTGGGGTTGAACGATAATCAAATAAAAAATTATTGGGCGCTAAATTAATGTTAATATTAGAGCTTTTCCCAAGTGCATTTTTCAGAGCATTTTTAATTGTCTTAACGGCGTTCTCTGCTGCCCCATTAGAGGAAGGATGGTAAGGAGGACTAGTAATATGCAAAACATGATTATTTTTTAGAAAGTTTTCAAATTCTAATGAACAAAATGAAGTACCGTTATCAGTTACGATTTTATTGGGTAAACCGAATCGGGCAAAACAAGATCGTAATATCTCTATTGTTTGCGATGACGTTATTGAAGTCATACGAAAAACTTCAATCCACTTGCTATGAGCATCTAAAATTATTAAAAAATAATTACTTAAAAAAGGACCCATAACATCTAAATGAAGTCTTTCCCATGGCTGTTCAGGCCAAGGCCAAGATTGAACAATGGTTTTTTCTGGAGAATTTTTATTTTTTAAACAATTTTCGCAAGTTTTGCATATTTCTTCAATTTTTTTACCTAAATTAGGCCACCAGAAATACGATCGCGCTAAGCTTTTCATTTTTACCACACCCATATGTGTAGAGTGCAAACTTTCCAAAATATTTGCTTGTAATTTAACAGGTATTACAATCCTGTTGTTCCAAATTAAACAGTCATTTTCAATCGATAATTCATTTTTAATTTTATAAAAATATTTAAAATCATCATTCTTTTCAATTTTTTTATTTAAAGGCCAACCGTTTTCTACGAATTCGACAACAGTTGATAATATTTTATCTTTTACCGTTGCTTGCCGTATTTTCTCGAAATTTATCGGAATATTTTCGTTCATAGAAAAAATGTTTGTATAATTGAAATCTACATTTTTCACGGAATCCTCTTCTACTGGTTGAGAAAGTCGGGACAAAACATCTGCAGGATTATTTTCACTTTTTACTACTTCAATGTCGTATTGATAACTCGACAAAATTATTGCCCATCTGCGCAACCTATTTGCGGAATATTCCGGTATTTTTTTATTTGGATGAAAAATATAGGACAAAGGTTTATTATCGGTTACTAAAGTAAATTTTTTCCGAATAAATAGTTATGAAATTTGCATAACCCAAAAATAACCGCTAGCGCCTCTTTTTCCAAAATACCAAATTTTTTCTCTTTATCTATTAAGGTTCGCGATGCATAAGCTATCACTTTTTCTGTGCCGTCTGGCATACTATGGGAAATTAATGCTCCCACTCCATAATCACTTGCATCAGTAACTAATCGTAAAGGAGTTCAGGATCGAAATGCACTAAAACCGGTGCTGACGCTAAAATTTTCTTAACATTTTCAAAAGATTGCTGACATTGAACAGACCAACACCAAGTTGACTTTTTTTTAATAAATTATAAAGTGGATGCAATAATGTAGATAAATTTTTTACAAATTTTCCATAATCATTTATTAAACCTAAAAATGATTGTAAAGAAATAACATTTGTGGGGGGGTTGTGCATTCATTATTGCTGAAATTTTTGTCTCTGACGTATGTAAACCCTCCTTGTCAATATCATATCCTAGATAGGTAATTTTTTCTTTAAAAAAATCACATTTCTTTACTGATAAATTTTAATCCTGCTTCTTGTAAACGAGAAAGGACGGTTCCTAAACGGTTTAAATGTTCATCCCGGGTTTTTCCCGTAATCAGGAAGTCATCTAAAAAACAGACAACGCCTTCCAACCCTTGTAACAACGATTCTATTATTTTTTCAAATTTTGCAGGTATACTTGCAATGCCAAACGGTGCTCTATTATACCGAAACAACCCTTTATGAGTCGAAATTGTTACCAATTCTTTTGATTCATCATCCAAACATATTTGTTGATAAGCATTTGATAAGTCAAGTTTCGTGAAATGAACACCTCCAGTTAATTTACTAAATAAATCATCAATTTTAGGTAAGGGGTAAGAATCAAGTTCTATAAAAGGATTCAAGGTTACTTTAAAATCGCCACATAAACGAACCGAACCATCTTTTTTTAATACCGGAACTATAGGAGTTCCCCATAACGAAAAATCTACCGGTTCAAT